GAGCAGGCACTGGGAGCCTGGGGCTGGAATGCTCTGCATATGAACACTTCCCCAACGCTCTTCATACAGGGGAGGCAGCGCAAGGGGACGCAAGGGGACACCATCACACTGGTCAGAAGGAATGTCAGCAGAGGTCTTCCCAGGCCCCTGGGGATTGCAGTAATTTTCATTTCTGGCCTGTAGCAGCTGAGAGGGGCGGCTCCTGTGTTTGGGTTTTCACAGAAGTGATGTGGGACATCTGAGCACCTTGAAAGAAAGTGCCCGTTCTCCTTCCCGTCATTGCAGGACCTGGCTGGTCTCCCCTCCTGCCTCCACCAGCCGGAGTGCCAGCCAGGGCACCAGGTCTGGGGCACTCTCCCAAACGGCAGTATAGAAATGCCACAGGCCTACTCTAGGGAAGCATGGGGACCATCCCAAGGTGTGCTTGGGGGCTCCGAGTCTCAGTCCTCTCCACCAAAGTGAAGGAGGCTCCTGAGGTTCCTGCCAGATCCCAAACTAGAGCAGGCTCTGACAAAGAGGACAGTCACTGTCCCCTGAGGCCACATGTTTAGGGCATTCCACTACAGGCCTGCTCCTTTCCACTGCTGAGATTAGCATAGTTCTCACCTAGGTCTTTTGCTGGTGGTTGGTTGTTTTATGTCTATTATTATTATTTTACTTTGCTGAAATTCAGGAACTTTAACCCCTACATCTGGCCTGGTTTCTGTAAAGCCTTGTTTGGAGAACCAAGCCCACGGGAGTGTGAGTGCCTGCGAAATACAGAATGAAGCGGAGATCCAGGACTGAAGCCTCGGGACTGCTTTGGGCGTGTGGAGTTTGCATCCCTGATGAGTAAGTCCGTCTGTTTAGACTGATCCAAGCTTAATTCATGGTTAGAAACAAAAAGTGGCCACACCCAGGCAGCTCTAGGTTTTAGACAGCACTCTAAACCCCAAGGACCACCAGACACTTTTCCAATATTAACCACCGAGAGTTAAAACTGCATAATGGGCTGGGCGTGGTGGCTCACGTCTATAATCCCGGCACTTCGGGAGGCCAAGGCAGGCGGATCACAAGGTTCATCCTGGCCAACATGGTGAAACCCTGTCTCTACTAAAAAAAATACAAAAGAAATTAGCTGGGCGTGGTGGCATGCACCTGTAGTCCCAGCTACCTGGGGGGCTGAGGCAGGAGAATCACTTGAACCCAGGAGGTGACGGTTGCAGTGAGCCGAGATCGTGCCACTGTACCCTAGCCTGATGACAGAGTGAGACTCTGTCTTTAAAAAAAAAATGTATAATGCTCAATTTGTCATGTTAACCTCATCAGAAATGATTCTCCCTCCCAGGATAGTTCTTTATTACTTCATCTTGAAATTGACAGCGTAGCACTGGGTTTTTCTTTAACTTTTAGAATGTTTCTCCTTCTCCCCCATCCCACCCTAAATAGAATCGCTTGATAAAAACACAGTAATATTTGGTGTTCACATTTTTAACCAATCAGCCAATTGAGAACCAGGTGGGCTAATCCTAATCCCTTTTTGAGGACCGTCCTGAAGGCCGGAGCCCAGGCGTGGCCTCCAGCCTCAGGTACCCACAGACTTTCAAGAGGCCCATTCCTGAGGTCCTCTCTGCCTACTTGAACAAATTCTCCTCCAGCATGAGGTGACACATCTGACAGTCACCCTCCTGTATGATGTATGCAGGTCAAACTGTGAAATGGCTTTGAGTTCCAATCACCGTTAGAAGGTAACTTCACTGATTTGAAAGTTTACTGATGTCATGGAGTCATAATCAAACATCTCTTTGAAGTGGAAGTTGGTCAGTCATTGCAGGAGGAGGTAAGAAGGGGTGAGATAAAAACTCAGGCAGCTGAAGCCATTCCCCCTGGGGGAGCAATTCCCAGCCCTCAATTCTTAATTCCCAGTAAGGCCTCTCCCCAGTGCCAGCAAGCCCACCCTTCCTTAGCATCCTAACCCATCCCCATACATATTCTCATCTAGTTCTGCCTCACCAAGGGAGGTGTTCAAATCCTGGCTCAGCTGCTAACCTGCCTTATGCCCCTGCCCTGGTGGATGTCAACGCTTGGCCGCTTGCTCATCTGCTCAACAAGAGCCCTCTGAGTGTTGGCCCATTTCCCTGGGTGAAGGGTTTGACTTGGAGTCAGCCTCTTCTCTCCCTCTCCTGGTTGTGAGCCTGGCCCAGCCCTTGCCTGGGTACATAAACAGGCCCCATCCCCATCTGCCCCCCAACACCCCACCCACCTGCCCTTCTCTGCCCGCCAGGCCTGCCCTGTCCCTTGGCTTCCTGCCTGCCTTTGACCTGGCACCGGCACAATGTGAGGTTGCTGAGACCAGGAACAGGTTCATGCCAGGAGAGTCATTTTCTGACCCAGCGATCAGCTGCAAGAGAAGGGGTGACATCACCGAACTTCCACGGTCACTGTCACTGTGCCCCAGGGCCCCTCCATGCATCTGCCCCAGGGAAGCATGGCCCCCAGCAACTGATAGGCCATGCCCCAGCAGTCTCCCAGCCTCAGGAGTTGGATCTGCGGTCAAGACTGTGAGAGTAACACAGCAGAGCGGCCTCCATTTGTGGGAATGCAGGGGGAGCATGGGCTGCTCTGCCAAAGCCAAAACAGCACTGATTTTCTACCAGGCACCAGCTACTCCAGATGCACAAACATACCCTCTGCTTCCTGGAAAGGAGACATCTATGAAGCCTGTGTGGGCCCTGCCTGTTGATGCGCAGTGCAGTGGGATTTGCATGTTTGTCCAGGAGGGGCATGGATGTAAATCATGGCTGATGCGATGGCTATCTGTTGGTTTTTCGGCTGCCCCACATCCACCCATGCTTATTAGCCCCCAGTTTCCTTTTGGGGTTGACTCTTCCCCCAAAGTGTTTGGTGTGGGTGGAAGAATAATCTTAGGTGCCTTAGGCCTCCACTGTGGAAGTCTAGGAAGTGGAATCCTGTCTCTCTCTGGCTGTGGTCACACAGGGCATGGTATATGATCTAACCCTGACTCACAGGCCCTCACCCAAAGGATGCTATCTGTAATGAGTGAGGCAGGGACAGCTGGGACCCTGGACAGATGGTGTCTGACACGAGACAGGGTTGTGCCTGCTGCTTTCTCAGGACAAATTCCCTGAGCCCCTCATTACCTTCCAGTTTGCTCCGTTAAGGGAGCTGGAGCCTCTTTCTCATGATGATAGAATCCTAGCTGGTACTGCCAGAGGACACTGTCCAGCCTTCAGGAAGCCACCGTAAGCCCACAGGGTCCCTGACAGTGGCCTGGGTGTAGTGTCATGGGGGACAACAAAGAGAAGCACTGGCTTGCAAAGCCGGTGAAATGGTGTTTCTTTTTTCTTTCCTTTTTTAAAAAAGAGATGGGCATCTTGCTTTGTTGCCCAGGCTGGAGTGCAGTGGTGGGATCATAGCTCACTGCAGCCTCCATCCCCTGGGCTCAAGAGATCCTCCTGCCTAGCCTCTGGGGTATCTGGGACTATAGGTATGTGCCACCACACCAAGCTAATTTTTTTTTCATTTTTTGTAGAGACGAAGTCTGCCATGTTGCCCAGGCTGGTCTCCAACTCCTGGTCTGAAGCCGTCCTACTGCCTGGCCTCCCAAAGTGCTGGGATTACAGGTGTGAGTACAGTTCCCAGCTGCTGTGTTGCTTCTGGAGAGGGCAGTCATTTGATGATATCTGTATCTGCTGCCTCTCTCTTTTGGCAGAACTTCCCTCTATGTATGCATAAAAGAGTTTTTCCCTCTTACCAGTAAATTGGTAGGATATAGCTTCCTTTGCTGTTGTCATTCCTCTAAAGGGGTGAGTATTTAGTCTGGGGGACTTTCCCTGCCTGGGGGACAACGGATTCTGCAAAGCACACTAGTGGCCAGCAGCTCGGGGTGTGCCGCAAATGCGCATGGCTGTTCCATTTGTACGAGGAGGATCTGTAATCCCTGCATCTGCTGGCCTGCTCAGTACAGAGCCCTGTGGAACCTGGGTGCTCACCCTAGACCTGCTCACAGGGATCCCCCAGATGCCCTGGTGGCTCAGGCAAGGGCCTTCTAGTATAGAATCCTGTCATTCATCCTGGTGAGGAATGAAGCTCTGGGGCAGTCGGGGCCTGCAAAGGCAGTGCCCCCCCCCACCATGTTCTTAGTGACCTACAAATGAGACGAAAGTCCATAAATGTCCCTAAACCATTTATTTTAAGTGTACATTGCAGTGGCATTGAGTACATTCACAATGTCGTACAACCAGCGCCACTATTTCCAAAACATTTTTCATCACCTCAAACTGAAACTCTGTACCCGGTAATCAATAGCTCCCCGTTCTCCCCTCTCCCCACCGCCTGCCAACCTCGATTCTAGTTTCCATCTCAATCAATTTGACTAATCTAGGTACCTCATATAAGTGGTTTTATACAATATTTGTCCTTTTGTACGTGGCTTATTTCACTTGGCATGTTTTATATGCGCCATATTGTAGCATATATAAGAACCTGATTCCTTTTTATGACCGAATAGTAGTCCATTGTGTGTACATACCACATTTTGTTTATTTATCTGCCGACAGACACTTCGGTTGTTTACACTTTTTTTTAGCTATTGTGAATAATGCTGCAATTAATATTGGCATACTAGCCTCTGGTGGAGTCCTTGCTTTCTTTGGGGTATAAACATAAAAGTGGAATTGCTGGGTCATAGTGCGATTCCCTGTTTAGCTATTTAAGGCAACATTAAACTGTTTCCAAAACAGCTGCAGCATTTTCCATTCTCACCGGCAGTGTCTGGAGTTTCCAGTTTTTCCACATCCTCATCCACACTAATGATCTTTCGTTTTATTTGTTTGTATTGTCGCCATCCTAGTGGGAGTCAAGTGGAGTCTCACTGTGGTTTTGATTTGCCTGTCTCTAATGACCAATGACATTGAGCGTCTTTTCATGTGCTTATTGGCCAGTTGTTTATCTCCAACTGCTCCTGATACTCCTGTGTGTGTATTCAAAGATAAGCTGTGCCTGAATGTGCCTGAATGTCCCGTCTCACACTCAGCTTCCAACTGCAACAAAGCTCCAACTCCTGCTGCTCGCAACCCTGCTTTGAGGTGGCCTGGGATGACTGGCTCCGTCACTTAACCCTTTGGCTGTTTTCAAAGTAGGTGAAAGGAATCCGAGCAGAGCAGGGTTATGGGAAGACCTGAGAACAGGCACTAACATTCGGTTAGTTTTTCGGCAGAGACTTCTTTTTTTGCACAAACCATGGTGCTTGTGGCAGAAGGAACTTCAGTGGGTGGGAACAGACTCATGCCTGGTGCCACTTAGCACCTGCATGGAAAAGGGTCTCCTGTGGGCAGAGGAAACCCCCAGACAGGGCACACATAGCTCAAGCTGGCTGATGGCTCAATAGGGTGCAGCTGCCTCTGCCTTTTCCAGACCAGCCTTGACCCCTGCCTGCCCAAAGAAACAACTGTTTCCATTTTGACCATCTTGCTTGGAGACACCTGACCAGCAGCCTACCACCAAAATCACAAAATAACCATGGCATCATTTTTCTCATGGACAGATGCTGAGATGCAGTGAGCCACCCTTAGTGCTCTGCCCTGAATGCTTCCGTCGGTCTGCTGAGTCACACTGCAGGTGAGTGCACCCATTCCTGTGCGTGAACTCCGGCCATTTGCTGCCTGTGGTTCCCCCATGAGTCAGTGGCATTGTGCTTTACTCTGAGCAGAAGTAATGGAGAGACAGGAGGTCACAGGTCATGTGCTGAGAGGTGAGTTTGCAATTCTTGAAGAGTTTATTTTGAATAAGCTGAGTCATGATTACTTCAAGGACTATGCTCAGCTGTAGACGCCAACTGCAAAACCAAAGCCTGGGGCATTTTGTCTGTTGAAACTCTGAAAGTTTCCATAAGACGTTATTTCAAGCAGAACTAGATAAGTTTTTTCCTGATGAAACTTGCAATTTTCTATAAAATTTTTAAAAATCAAAATGTAAAAAAATTAATGCCTTCCTCATTCTAAAGTAACAAAGAGTGTCTCATACATTTAAACGTTCAAATCAGCTTTGAAATTCAGTCTGCTGTAAATTCAGTACAAAAATGGGGAGGATACAGAAGAATGAGGAAGACCCAGGGAGAGGGAATTCACAATTCGCTCAAAATGTGATCAAGGGAGCTATTCTTTTAAACATTTACAACAGCTTTGACACTTCTTTGGTTTTTGGATAGAGCGTCTTCTTGAAATCTCTGAGTCAAAGTTGATATCTTTTAAGATGCTTTTCTGTGCCCTAAAGTGTCTTTGCCTTTTCAGGGATAGGCCATTGGTTCCTCTTGGGTGTCCTGAGCCATGTCGAGTCCTCCTGGATCATAGGAGGCTGGGTTGTCCTGTCCTGCTGGGAGTGAAGGACTGTGGTTGAATGAAGGCTTGGTGGAGGCAGCTGCCTGGCTCTCCTGTGCGCTCCGCCGATGGAGCAGGGAGCCTTGCTGCTCTGGAGATACGAGCTTGGGGAGGAATGGGGGCTGAGCTCCCTCCACAGCTACCCAATGTCTGAGCAGGAGGGCCCTGCTTAGGGATGCCAAGACCCTCCTAGCAGGTTCCCTCCTAGCACAGCAAGGGTAAGCTGCACCAGCAGGTGGAGAAGTTGGGGAACAGAGAAGTAGCAGCCCCTCAGCCAGGAGGGCACCTCAGCATGAGAGCCTCAAGAAGCCTTGTGGGCAGCGGCCATGATTCAGGACCTCCTCCCCTCCCTGTCCACAGCATGGACCTTCTCCCTTTGTCTTCCAGCAACTGTCAGACCCTTGGTCTGTTAATGTCTGTCTTTTTTCCTCCCCACAAGCTTTTAAGACTATGCTACATGTGTGGTGGGTTTGTTGGAAGGACAGAGGAAGGCGCAGGAGTGAGAAGCGTTTGTAGCTCCCACCAGTCTCACCTCCACCCAGGTCTATCTTCCCAGCAAAACCCTACACAGTCCCCTGTAGAACAACTTCCCCCACACTCTCACCTTCCTGCACTCTGCCAGTCTGCCATGTTAACTTTGAACAGCCCTAGACAACCTTCATCATGAAAGCCAGCTCCCAAGGCTGGCCACTTGAACAGCTTTCCACATCTCCCCATGGGGTCCTCTAAAATAAAAACCATTAGCCCCCGGGGTATCATTTTTTATTTTACAAGACCCCATGCAATGGCATGAAGCCAGACAGCAGAATAAAAGCAGAACTCCTCCTCACAGCCTTGGCCGTGCCTCCTTTACCTTTTGCCCTGCCCTCTGTCCTCCCAGCTTTCCATGCCTTTCTTCCTTCTTCCCCTTCCCTCCTTCCCTTCCTCCTTCCCTGTCCATTCTCCCACCCCGTCTTTCTTTCCTCCGAGCACAACTTTTCCAGTCTTGTTCCACCCTAGGCCCCTGAGCCTAGAGAGGCCAGAGCTGCAGTCCTGATGCTTCTTCTTCCCAGGCCAAGGGATGTGTTCCTGCCTTTGGTGGACTGCTCCGCCTATGCTGACCGTTAAAGTCTCCCTCCTTCAGCCAGTCCAGACCAGAGAGCACACCTGAATCTTCCGGCCTCTTCATGTGTGTCCCTAAGGAGAAGCTTGTGCCCTGTCTCTGAGGCAAGACATAGCCGACGATGAACTGACGGTGGTAGCCCCGACCTCCACTTGTAATCCCTGCCGGCCTCTCCCCAGCTCCCCACCAGCCTCATTCTGTACAACATCCTCTGGCCAAGGTTACAGCTTCTTCTCCCTGGAGCCCCTCGGACAAGCACAGCTGCCTGGGCCCCTCCCCTGCATCACTGGAATGCCTGAGGCTGCCAGACGAGGTGGCCTCCTTCCCAACACAAGGATGCTCCCCTGGGGTGTTCTGTCGTATAAATTCCTCCAATAATTTATTTCCAGAAAAAATAAATTCCCCTAAGAATTGGTATATTTTCTTTTATTAGATAATAAGAGCTGCACAGCACACTGCTTTCTTTTTTTTTGCTTTTCTTACCAGGAAGCTCAGGGCTGCACCAGTGCTGATTGTGGATATATTCATCAGCTCTCTTTTCTATTCTTTCTCTTTCTCCTCCTATTTGTCCATTTCATTCTTGGGTGTGTACCCATGTGTACTTATGGAGAGCTCAGTTCAAGTAACTGTGTGGGAAGGCTAGCCGGGCCTGTGTCTGTGGTCTTGACATAGAGCCCTTGTCCTTCCTCCTGCCTCTCCTGGCATTCACACCTGCTTCAGAGTCTTCTCCACACATGGAATTTGGGGTTCTGCACCCCCACTCCAGCCCGGGGGATCACCAAGTGGTCCAGAGCAGTCCTTGGACCCCTCTGCCCCATGAAAGGCGAGTTTTCAAAAGAGAAAGAAGTTACCTTATGTGGCAGATCAGGCCTGAATGCCTGCAGCCTCCTGCCTAAAGGACCAAGTTTCTACCTCCTTCCCATCAGCTCCCGCTTCTCAAAAGACTGAGTTTCTACCCTCAGTTCCCATCTTTCCTCACTCTACCACACAGGAGGGAGGAGAAAAAGATGGAATTTGGGTTTCACAGGTGGGAAGAGGAACTTGGTAATGAGGGAGGTTGGAAATTGTCAAGTCAGTGTCCATGAGCACAGCTACCCCAGAGGAAGTTCTTGTTCCATCTCTGGAAGAGTCTTCAGCCCAGTGGGCGGAGATGGAGTTTCCAATGAATGATGAGATTCCCCTCATTGTACCCTGGTGCCAAGGGTTTGAAGGGCCTTCTCAACAGGCCCTCCATAAACAAGACAGAAACTTGCAGTTTCTTTCTTTGAGCGGCAGCTCAGCTTTTTGCAAAATCCCACCAATGATCAAAGGGCTCTTTTTGCCTTGGGGAGAAAAGATGCTTTCTGTAAGCTTTAAATATTCAGCAGGACTTCACGAAATTACAGTTGAAGCTTCATCTTAAATGGCAACTTGTGTCTGGACATTAAAATCACCCCATCTTGGCCAGGCGCAGTGGCTCACGCTTGTAATCCCAGCACTTTGGGAAGCCAAGGCAGGTGGACACCTGAGGTCAGGTGTTCGAGACCAGCCTCGCCAACATGGTGAAACCCCCATCTCTACTAAAAATGCAAAGATTAGCTGGGTGTGGTGGTGTGCCCCTGTAATCCCAGCTACTTGGGAGGCTGAGGTGAGAGAATTGCTTGAACCCAGGAGACGGAGTTTGCACTGAGCCAAGATCGCACCACTGCACTTCAGCCCAGATAACAGAGCCAGATCCTATCTCAAAAAAATAAATAAATAAATCGCCCCATCTTTTCTTATCTGTGTGCATATTTAAGGAAAATAGAGATGTAGAAGCCATTTTGAAGTAAGCTTAAGTATGGTGTTGGAGACACCAACAGAGGCAGAAAAGTGTTTCAAATAAAGTACAAAGTTTATGACATGGGCCTGTGACCTCCATTCTGTTACTCAAATACAAGAGTGGGCAAATACCAAGCACGGGGCCTCCAGACCTCAAGCTGTTCTCATTGGCTTGTTGGGTAAGAGTGTCAGTTGGGTGAACAGACATCCTTGAATTCCTGAGTTGGCACGGACTCCACTCATAGGATTAAAGCCTGCATTATCTACAGCCCTGAGTATCTGCCATGCACCTGCCAACTAGCACACTGTGGGCTCCATGAAAAGACAAGCATTAGTGTCTGGTCCCCAACTGGGCCAGCATTTGGACCAGCCTTACAAACTTGGGCATGAGGTTTGTGCACATCCCCTGAATACTGGCTACCTTTACCAGGCTCCAATGGTGTACCCTCTTCAGTGACAGGAAAGGTTTGAAAAGTGGAAAGGGGAGTCCAGGCAAGTGTGGGTCCCTGCATGGCATCACCCAACCCAAGAGAGGACTTGAAGCACAAGGAATGTGCTGAAAATTGGCCCATGCTCCTTCCCTTGTTGATCTGCCTTTCCAGGAACACTTTCACCCCAAATCAAGAACAGTTTAGGATAAGGCTTACCTCATTGGGCACAGCCTCTGCCCTCCCACTCTTACTCGTTGGCCCCCTGTCCTGAGGTTCTTTCAGAATCCTTGCAGAGACCAGGCTCTCTCTTGCTCCAGCCCTTTGCTCAGACCAGGACTCACTTCCTTGGCCTGTCTGCTCCTTTCATCCTTCCCATCCCAGCCTGGGAGGCTTCTCTCATCCCTTCAAGACTGGGTTAGGGCCTCCCAGCCTCCCCTGCCATCTATGCCATCTCTGCAGTGGGTACTGGTCTTATGGATATTCCCCTCAGCAGGAACCAAGTCAGTCTGAACCACTGATACATCCTGGGTGCTCCTCACAGGGCTGGGCAAATAGGAGACTCTCAAAAATGCCCAGTGCATGAAAAACCCCTGGACTCACTGAATACGAGAGTCCAACTAAATAGAATCAGTAGGAGCTCACTTCGGAGCAGCTAGCAGGAAGAGTTCTATACCGAGTGCACTGTGGTTCCTCCAAACTCAGCAAGCTGGTCAGTGCTAACCCCTGGGACATTTTTGAGAGCTGCAGGGAGTTGTGATTCTGTGGAGCAGCTGAGGTTTCAGGTAAACTATAAATACATGAATAGAATGTGATGGGCATGTTCATTTTTCAGGGCTAGAGTTGCCTGGGCCAGAATATCCCAGAGCCCCCTGTCTCTGCACTGTGCACAATGCAAGAACATCTTGGCAGCCCTCCTCTGGAATCTCCACAAAGGTGGAGACCTGTAGGATTTACTCCCACTGGTTCCCAGCCCCCAGCACAATGCCTACCTCTCAGAGATTGTTGGTTGAATGACTGAAGGAAGAAAAGACAAGTTACAGGGTTTGGATTTTTGTCCCCACCAAATCCCTTGTCAAATTGTAGTCCATAGTGTTGGCAGTGGGGCCTGTGGGAGGTGGCTGGATCACGGGAGTGGATTTCTCATGAAAAGTTTAGCACTACCCTCTTGGTGTTGTTCTCATGATAGTGAGTTCTCTCAAGATCTGGTTGTTAAAAAGTGGGAAGCACCTCCCCCCTCACCCTCTCTTGCTTCTGCTCTGCTATGTAAGACACCTGTTCCCCTTTGCTTTCTGCCATGACTGGAAGCTACCTGAGGCTCAGAAGCAGAAACCACTATGCTTGCTGTACAGCCTGCAGAACCATGTGCCAAGTAAACCTCTTTTCTTTGTAAATGGCCCAGTCTCAGGTATTTCTTCACAGCAGTGCAAGAATGGACTAATACAATGAGTTTATGGACAGAAAAATTCTTAAAGAAACAGATAATGTAGCTCCAGCTGAGTCTGGAGATTTTTCCATTTTAACTGGAAAACATTGTACTTTAACATATTTACAGGTAATGTCCCCACTTTCAGGATTTACTCACCCACATAAGCACGTGGAAATCCTAAAGAGGATCTTTACTCAAATGCCCATCATGAAGAGAAAGGGTCTGTAAGATAGACACCACTCAGCAATGAGAACGAGCCATGTCCACAGGTAACAACAGGATAAAGCTCAATAACACGGAGAGAAGAAAGCAAATCGCAGAACAAGTCCTTTTACGTCAGCATATAAAACCCAGCACACAACACTGTATGTTGCTTTGAGATAAATGCATAGAATTCTAAACACCTGGACAGGAAGTTCTATACCCACCTCAGGGTGATGAGATGAGGCTGAGGACCCAGGACAGGTGGGGATGAGGGAGGATGGGGGCTGTGGGAATCAAGCTGCAGCCAAAACAAGCTCTGAAGCCAATAGAGTAAAATGTTCTCTATTGGGTGTTAAATATGTCCCTGTTAAGTGCTTTTGTTATATCACTCTCTAGGGGTTTTTGTATATTTGAAAGTCCTATAATTTTCTCGTAGAAATAATTTTCTCAGATTATCAATAATTTAGAAACCAGTTGTTACTTTTCTTAGCATTTGCTATAGAACATACTGGAGTTGTTTTATTTAAATAGTATAAAAAATGTCCTTGTGAACAAGAATTCTTTGAATTGAATTCCTCCAGTTTTCTAACTCTTCAATTCAGTGTCTTTTGTACCAGACTGCCTATTAACCGATGCAAATCCTTAAGGGACTGTCTCAGGCTCCCCTGCTGTGTATACCCGATTGCTCCCTTCCCTTGCCTCAGCTCACCTTATCCTCCTGCTCAGCCTTTATGGATATCTATGGGCCCCCATGTCCCTCTCCAAAGATGTCAAGCAATATGCACTAGAAGCAGTGATGCGCAAACTTCAGCATACATCAGAATTTCTGGGGCTTGCTAAAACAGATTTCTGGATCCCACCCCCAGCACTTCTGATTCAGTTGGTCTGGGATGGAACCTGAGCATTTGTATTTCTAAGTCTCAGGTGATGCTGATACTACCAATCCAGGGAACACACTGAGAAACTGGGTTGAAGAAGGTTGGAACGCCATGCCTCTGCCTAATCTGTGCTGCACGTGCGGTGAATGAATGTCACGTTTCTGTGAATCTGGTCTGTTCCTTCCTGGTGCCCTCTGCCCTGACAGTTCATCATCACGACACTATCTGGCATTGATCTTTGTTTCAGTCCCTCTCAGCAGAGAACAGATTTAATCACATTTATTTCCATTTGGTCTGGACCAAGTCAACTTTTGGCCAGAAAAGAACATCCAAAATTAAATAAACATTATTGTGTGAAGAATGAAGAGGGAGATGAAGAGAAAGACAAAGCGCTTAAGAAATTAGAAATGAAGGCAGGAAGAAAGATGCAAGGCAAGAGGGAAAGTGGAGAAATAAGTAAGTTGATGCTTTCCATTCCCACTGACGCAAGAGGCCCCCGGGACCAGCAGACGAAGAACAGAGGGACCGTATGTCATTCCTGTGTGTGAATAATCGTCTCTAACCAGAAAACAAACAAAAGTGTCCAAGAAGGATAATTGACAGGCAGGAGTTCTCTGTCTTGAAAACTCTTTAACATGCAGTTTTGTTGTCACCATCTCTTGTGGGGGCTTTGGATGGCCTCAAGTCCTGTCCACACAACTCTGAAGGCCCACAGTCCCCACAGGAGGGGACTTCCCTGGCAGAGCCCATGTCCAGACACATGCGGGAGCTGGTACGGAAGGGAAATAGCTTCCCATTTTCGGGGGGTTGGGGCTTAAACACACTTGTTCTTGAGTAAAGAGAGAAAGCAGCAAACAAGACAAGGATGGGAAGGAGAGGCGGTGGTCGTAGGGACAGCGCTTGGGCTTTCAGAGATGGAATTTAAGGCAGAAACCATCTGCCTGAATTTCCAACTCTCCCAGT